CTTCAGTACTAAGTACTACTTCTGTCGTTGTTTCTACGGCAGTTCTTTGATATTGAGAAGCACTGCTACTCGTACTAGTCATACTCGCACTGGTAGACAGCCCATGGTAACGAGGCTTTTGCAAGAGCCATTTTCCTAAAAGAGGGCCGATTGCGGTTTGCTACCACGTATACTAGACAAGAACCCGATGTTTTCCGAAAAGCCTATTGCGATGTGATTTCGTCTATGTACTCCTGCTCACAACGACGACGACGACCACTGCAAACGCTACGACGACGACTGCTACTGCTACTTCGACGACGACGACGACTGCTGTCACCTAAAGATTGTGGGCTGGAATTTGGAGGATGCAAACACGAGAGACGGCCCACGTCACAGCGCCCGCGAATTCATGTACCGAAAAGTGTCCGTGAAGCAACTGACACCACGAGCACCGTTAGTGTAAGGCGTCATGACCACAGACTTACCCCACAGGGTTCACTGTGCAGCGTTGAACAGTGGACGTAGCACTATGAGAGGCACACTACGATTGGGATCGGCCACCTGCCCCTTGACACTCGGACCTGCACTTCATTTGTTGCATCGGTGCATTCTTGATGTTACGACCACCCGAGCACCCGAGCCGATCTCCGCCCGAGGACGGCGGGAGGCCTGGTGGTGACCTTCACCGGCTCCGGCGACATGTCCTCAAGGCCTGCGCTCTTCACAGGGCACTTGATGCATTTTTGGGTGCATCCGTGGGCCTCTGCATGTCAGGTCCACGAATCCATTGAACACCAAGGGCCTGACTGTGGGCGGCGGTGGTATCCTGGAGGCCACACCCAGAGTAAGCCACCTAGGTTTGCTGGAGAGGGTACACACACAGACAGAGTTGTGTCTCCTCTACCCGCCCTACCAACCCACCCAACTGCGACCAATAGCTGAAATGATTCCCAGCTTCACGTTTCGCAGCACGTCACATGCCACAGGTGTACGGAAAGCGCTATTGGCCTACCTGGTACCTTGTCTGCCCTGGGCCTTGGGTTCCAAGACTGTTTCGAGATTCCCTTCGAGCTTTCGTTTCAACACACGTGCAGACCGCAGCACTTGGATATAGGGAGAGTTAGTACC